CACACTCACTCACACACACACACAGAGACACACACAAACACAGAGACACACACACACTCACTCACACACACACACACACACTCATAAATACACCAGAAATAGAATGTAATGCACACCTAGGATGCTATTGCATACAAAATCCATTTGGATTACACAGATTTAATATAAACAAACGAATAAACTTAACATGATGCCGATCACACATAAATAAAACAGGTCAGATTTCTGCACTCAAAAAAATCATGGTATAGTTTTGTTTGTTTGTTTTAGTAACTGTTTGCATAACTCTTTGATTTTATTTAAATAATCCTATTGAATTTTTTTATATATTGCATTATTTATATATTTTTATTTATTTGTAAATATTTTTAATCCTTTTATTTAAATATTTTAATATAATTATTAATATTAAATATTTTTTCATATTTTAATTTTTTTATTTGCATCTATTTGATTTAATTTAAATATGCATATTTGTAAAAACTATTTTTGTATATTATTTGTATATATTTGTATATTTTAATAATTTATTTAAATATTTGTAATAAATATTTAGATTCACTTTTAATATATATATTTTAAATTTTTATTATTTTTCATTATTTTCATTTATTATAAATCTTTTTTATATTATATTATTTTTAGTTATTTTTTATTTTTACAATATCAAAAGAAATTAAGCTTATATTTTGTTGATTTTTATAGAAAATAAAAATTATAAAAATATTGTTTTTAAGCCTTTCATTTAAATTGTCACATTTTATATTATGATTTTTTTTTTTTTATCATTTAAAAATGCATTTATTCAAATAGCTTACAATCAGCATAAATCTGTTCATAGTGAAAACAATTACATTTATTCAGTTAAAAAGTATGAACATGGTGAAAATATGACTAGCTGTGGAACAATCAATATTAAGTTACTTAAAATGTATGAGATTGAAACAAATTTCAGAAATCTGACCTGTTGCATTTATGTATGACTGACAAATATGCATCACATTAGGTGTATTATTTTGTTAAAGTGGTGAAATCCAAAAGATTAGAAATATTATATATAATTCAAATACATAAATCTGCAATTTAGGCCTAAATAGTTATTTGTGGAATGTAAAATGTAGAATGGATACTATTTCTCCCTTTATCTGACAGAAATAGTCAACAGTATGCCATTCTGAAGTTCAGAGTTAGACTTGTCTTCAGTGCAGCGTCGCCCTCTGCTGGTGTCTCGCTTCATCACTGAGGGCATTTTTCGCTAGTGATTTTGTCCAAGCGCTTCCAGCTTCATTCTCACTCTAAATATAGATATTTTAGGACGGTCATTTACAGACATTACAATAGTTTGCTGCTAAACGCTTCATTGTGTGTAGCGTCAGCCTCGCTGCAATTACGCATGATTTTATACGGCTGCAGATGGAGATTCAGGCAGATTTAATGTGTTCTGCTTTACTCATTAAAAGAGTCGCTTATTATAGATTACAGAGCAATTAGACGGAGAGCTACGAGTGTGTGTGTGTCTGCGTGTGTGTGTGTGTGAGTGTGTGTCTGTGTCTGTCTGTGTGTGTCTGTGTGTGTGTGTGTGAGTGTGAGTGTGTGTCTGTGTCTGTCTGTGTGTGTGTGACACACACACACACACAATTCAGAAAAAATATGCGATTAATTAGATAATTCTTTTATTGATTGACAGCAGAAATATATATATATATATATATATATATATATAATTAAAATACCAATTATCTGAGCTCATCATTAATTTTTTTTTTTGTTTTCTTTTGCATTTATCATCTATAAAACAGATAATTCACTGCATAACCCTACAGACATACCAAAACTTAAAAAAATTATTAATTAATTAATCTAATCTGGTATAAATAAATGATTTCGAACATAAATAAGCGACTTTAAAACAAGCTAATATTACTAAAACCGTTATTATAGCTAATATTACCATAATAGATACCAAAATGAAGTAACAATAATATATCTAACCAGACGGAGATGTATAATCATCTGATGATCCAGTGATGTATGATTGAATCAGAGCTCTGTTTGAAGCATGAGTAAGTATAATATGAACGGTCTCTTGAAGCTCAAGCGCGGCTCTAGTTGAGCTGGTTGTCTGAAATCGTCTGCGTCCGCAGTAAGAGATCTTGCGGTTGCTGGAGGACTCGTAGGAAAACACGGCTGGGCTTTTGGAGGATCTCCATCACATGACACACTTGTCTTTATGAGGCTTTTTGAGATGATGTATTCAGTAATTTATTTAATGTTATATTATTCATATTTTTTTTTATTCATTTATATTTGGTTATTTTTATAAATAAAACCAAAACTGTTAAAAGTTTTAGTTTAATCACTTGTATATTTTAAAATGATATATTTAAATATATATATATGTGTGGCCCTGGAGCACAAAAGCAGTGTTAAGTCGCTGGGGTATATTTGTAGCAATAGCCAACAATACATTGTATGGGTCAAAATTATAAATTTTTCTTTTATGCCAAAAATCATTAGGATATTAAGTAAAGATCATGTTCCATGAAGATATTTAGTAAATTTCCTACCGTAAATATATCAAAACTTAATTTTTGATTAGTAATATGCATTGCTAAGAACTTCATTTGGACAACTTTAAAGGAGATTTTCTCAATATTTTGATTTTTTTGCACCCTCAGATTCCAGATTTTCAAATAGTTGTATCTCAACCAAATATTGTCCTATCATAACAAATTTATTTATTCAGCTTTCAGATGATGCATAAATCTCAGTTTCGAAAAATGGACCCTTATGACTGGTTTTGTGCTCCAGGGTCACATTTCATGATGTGCTCAGAAAAATGTAATTCAGTCATTTATTTAATATTATATTGCTTATATTTATTAATGCATTTACATTTATATTGAAGGTTTACAGTGTATTCAGCTTTCAGATGATGCATAAATCTCAGTTTCGAAAAATGGACCCTTATGACTGGTTTTGTGCTCCAGGGTCACATTTCATGATGTGCTCAGAAAAATGTAATTCAGTCATTTATTTAATATTATATTGCTTATATTTATTAATATAATAAATATTTATTTATGCCGTGAATCGAATCATCTGACACTACTGATAAAACCATCACTGATTAGTTTGCATAATAAAAGTCTACTCTGCGTCTCCTGCTGCAGGTCTTTGAGAAGCTGAAGGATCACATGCTCATCCCAGTGTCCAATCAGGAGAAAGTGAAGGTGGACGGCGCGCTGACCTGCTGCTCGGTGCTCATCAACAAGAAGAAGAACATCTGAGAGACTCCGGAAACCTTCATCAAACACACCGTTTCATATTCCGCGTGTTTCATGAATGAGGCCTGATGTGTGTGCGTAATATGCAGGATTACTTCGTTTTATCTTTGTTTTTGTTTTTGAACTCCAATAAAATGAATCGGATTGTTTCATCTGAAGGGAAGAGAATATAAAAACACACTTAAAGTCTGTTTTTTCTAACGTGTGAGGAAAATAAAGTACATTTATATTTCTAACCAGCAACATAATTTTCAAAAATGACGGATGAAAGTGGTTTTAGCTGGTTTAACTAGTCTCCAGGCCAGTTGGTGTTTAATTGGTCGGCCATCCTGACTAGTTTAACCAGCTCGGTCAGGATAACCGTCCAGCTGTTGACTTTTTTAGCAGCGGTCAGTGAGTCAAAACTATTAAAATTTTGATTGTTATAAAATAAAATTTTCATGACAGAAATTGCTCTAAACCTCAAAATGTAGCTGTAAACTATATAAATCATCTGGATCCATTCAGAATGACTGAACCGTAAGTGTTTATCGCGTTTAACGTTCATCAAGCCCCATAAAAAGCCTGTTTTTAAACACTGAATGATGATTTGTTACTTCGTGTTGCCTAGATTGTAGAGCATCGTGTTCATAAATAGATTTATAGAGCATTTGAACTGCATTTGGAATAAATATCCGCCGACTGCGCTGATGTGATGTGTGAAACAAGCCATAGTGAACTGCTTTTATTGAGTAATTGAAGTGAAAAAAAATTGTTTTTATGGATTTATTAAGTAGTTTTTGCGTTCGTTTGCCCTGCAGTTCCCAGATACTAAAAAATTTTCTAAAAAGTTTTGCTAACATTAACATGTATTTTCTTTTTCTTTTCTTGATTATTTGAAGCGTAGAGAAAACATTAAGGGAACGTTCCATCGCGAACATTTTGGAAATTATTTTTTGAAAGTTCTCTGAAACTAGTAAGCTGTGACGTTTAAAAAAAACATTCGATGAACGCCCAATTAAAACGTTTCCGAAAATACATTTCATGAACAATGTTTAAGTGCCAACGTTTTGAGAACGCCATTAAAGTCCAGATAACTTTGAACAAACGTTCTATTAATGTTACTGGAAGAACATTTGTTTGTAACTTTGAGAGAATCTTGATAGAATGTTTGTAAACGTTCTCCGTAAGCCGGAAAATTGTTTGGAATGGAATACTAGTCATCTGCATACTTAGTATGTAGTGCATGTTGACTTTTTATGTGATAACCTAATAAAACAGAGGTTGATGTTGACAATCACTGCTGATATAATTTGGTTAGTTTGGTTGCCGTTACAGGAAATAGAAGGTCAGTTGGAGCGCAGTGCATTGTGGGATATAGTATTGCAGGTCATCCAGGTATTCCAGAACATTTGCAGACTATGCAATTTTTACATAATGCAGAAATAGAGTAGTATGCTAGTCGATTCAAACATGCCGTGGTTTCACAATCCTCAGGTGCTGATTGGACGTCCTTCCTCACTGTGACGTCCAATCAGAAGTTTGCCAACACCCATGTAATTGAACGGCACACCAGTATTGGTGCACATGCTACCTTGACCCCACTAGCTTGTTGCATTTGCGTAGTGTTAGCATCAAGCTGTATTACCTTATAATTCATTATTAGGTTACTTAACTTTTAGCTTCATATATTTAAAGCCACTTTCCTTGAAAATCATAAACTCATCCAGCGCAATGAATTGTGGGTAACATTAGCTGAATCAATTGTACGATGATTTGGGACACTCATTCTAATTATGTAAACAATTTAGGATGGAAAGTGCGTGAATTGGACTAGAGGATAAAAAAGGTAATTATGACCTTTTATCTCACAATTCAAGACTTTTTTTCCTCGCAATTCTGAGAAAAAAAAGTAAAAACTTTGACAATTGTGAGACATAAACTCAGAATGGCAATATATGAACGTTGCAAAATATGAACTCGCGATTCTGAGAAACAATTTTGAGATATAAACTCGCAATTTGCGAGAATAAAAAGTCAAATTCAAGATACAAATTTGGAATTCACTTTTTAGTTTGTGGAAGAAAAAAATTGAATTGCGAGAAAAAAAGTCAGAATTCGGCGTTTTCGCAATTACTTTTTTCTCATAATTGCGAGTTTATAAAAGAAAAATGAGAAAATTTACGTAAGAATATAAAAACGTCAGAATTGCGAGAGAAGAAAGTCCGGATTGAGATATTAAAAAGTTGCGGTTATCTTTTTTTAGTTTGTGGAATACAAAAATTTAATTGCGAGAAAGTCAGAATTCTGAGTTTATATTTCATAATTGCTTTTTTCTCATAATTGCGAGTTTCTAAAAGAAAAATGCGAAAATTTACATCAGAATATAAAAAACGTCAGAATTGCGAGAGAAGAAAGTCCGGATTGAGAGATTAAAAAGTCGCGGTTATCTTTTTTAGTTTGTGGAAGAAAAAAATAGAGTTGTGAGAAAGTCAGAATTCTGAGTTTATATTTCGCAATTATAAAAATGATTTTCTCATAATTGCGAGTTTATATGAGAAAAATTAGAAAATTTAAGTCAGAATATGAGAAAAAAAAAAGTCTGAATTGAGAGATTAAAAAGTCGCAGTTACCTTTTTATTTTATTTTGTGACGGGAACAAGCTACTCTAGTTTTCTGCATGTGTGACAATTAGCTCAAGTTGCTAATCTGCCTAGCTGTACGTTTAGCTTCGACAAACAGCTCCTCAGTCACATCTCACGTTTCAGTTTAGCGCTTTTCACAAGAACTGTTTTAGGATTCGCAGAGTTACTCTGTCGTAATGCGTCAGTTTATTTCTCCTGCTGAAGAGAAAATGAAGATTTAAAGCTCAGAGACACGGGCATGCGGCCATGAAACAGGATTTAGAGTTGTCCCAACACTTTTACGACGTCGACAGATAAACACACCAGCCGCCTTTTATACCTTTTATAACAAAGTGAATTATAGGCCATGATGAAAGCGCAGGCCTGTCATTCTTGTCTCATTCATCGTCTCGTGGATGCTTTGCAGAATACGTTATCATTATTTCTCTGCCAGAAAGACACTTGTAAAATATTCTGCAGTTTTCGTAACGTTTCCAAGCCCCACTGTATGATATCACAGTCGTAAAGAAGCCGGTGTTTACTAGCGACCTGCTCATCCAGAAAGAATGCCGGGTTTCATCACGAACTAGAGTTTTTCCTGCTATCATCTCACCAAATTCATGCTGAAATCTGTCATCATCCTAAAAAAAGAAACCGTCTCAGGTCTCCGGGATTCAGTATTTTCTTTCTACTCTTGTATTTTCTAAAAAGCAACCCTGATAGCACACGTGTACATCACAGAGACGTCTATTTGACGTCTGCAAGACGTATTTTTTAGAGTGTTTGCTCATCTGCAATACATCTAAAAGACGTTTCCTATCAGATGTCAAATAGACATTTAGAAGATGTCTTTAAGATGTTTATGATTTAGAATGAATGTAACACTGACATCTTAAAGACGTCTATCAGATGTTTGTCCACAGCAGATGCTTTCCAGATGATCTTTAACAGACGTCTTGCAGACGTACCTGTGCTATCTGGGAAACTTGAATGCTTGATCGATGTGACTCAGGACTTCTTAGATGTGATTTTTATGTGCCATAAGGCCTTTAACACTGTGTCTTTGCTCGTTGTAATGATTTTGTGGGGTTTGATAAATAAAGCCGTGTGGGGAATGTGTGTGTTTTGTTGTAGTGTTCTGTGATCGTGACTGATGTTGAGATGGTCGCCATCCACATTCACTCAAACCTGTTTACGTACACAATTTGTGTGCTCATTTGTGTCTAATGCAGATGGAAATTAATGCATAAGTGAAATTCTTGGTAGCATCATTGTTATAATTAAAGTAGGCTACCTGAGCATATGTGCTTCTATTAAGTCGCTTTGGATAAAAGCGTCTGCTAAATGCATAAATTAAAGAAAAAAAAAACATATCTTGTTAAATTACAGCATATTCAAACGACAATGATTCTAATATGCTGATTTGCTGCTCAAAAAACATTTAATACTATTGAATAGAAAGATCCAAAGGTTATCCAAAGGTCAGCATTTATCTGAAATAACATATTTTGTAACATTATACACTATACCAGTCAAAAGCTTGGAGTCACTATTTTTTTTGTTTGTGACACTGAAGACTGGAGTAATGATGCTGAAAATTCAGCTTTGATCATAGAAATAAATTACAGTTTAACAGATATTCACATAGAAAGCAGTTATTTTAAATAGCAAAAATATTTCACAATATTACTGATTTTGCTGGCTTGGTAAGCAGAAGAGAATTCTTTAAAAAACATAAAAATCTTACTGTTCAAAAACTTTTGACTGGTAGTGTTGGATGGATGGATGGATGGATGGATAGATAGATAGATGATAGAAGGGCAATTCAATTAAAATATAACTTTAAAATCTTGAATCAAGAATTAAGAAGTTTTGGTCTGGAAAGCAGAAACTATTTCCAAAATGAAGCTGCATTTTGTGTTAATGGAGATACATGTACTCTAGGAAACATAATTATTTAAATGAATTAATTACACATAATGGAAAGTAAAACGCAAAAACACCCAGCCACCTCTATAAAACGATTCAGTGATCGTAAATGACTGTGATTGGTGAATTCTGATGCTAACGACGGTAATATTTTTATTAGCTCTTGAATTGAAAATACACCGTTTAAAAAAATAAAATGAAATTGTCGTATGTTTTATTTCTGTGATCCCGTTGTTTGGAGTGTCGATTGGCCCTTTTACGCTCCGCCTGCGTTTACGGCATCAGCGTGCGCCGGATTCAACATGGCGAGCGTTGTTTAGTTGTTGTTGATCAGCGGTTCCGAATAAACCCACAATCACTGAATCCGGCAGCCTCTCTCATCTTCATCCACCATGAGCGATGAGAAGCAAACAGAGGGTCGTAATTTCTTCATGGGTTTTGATGATCTGAGCGACAGCAGCAGTGACTCGGACGGTCGTGAGTCCGGTAAGAAGAGCCGAAGCGAACCGGACCCGTCAGGATCGTCTGAACTGCAGAGCCGCAAACGAGCCGCCGAACCGCTGCCGAAACCCGACGATCTGTTCCGATCCGTCAGCAAACCCACGTTCCTCTATAACCCGCTGAATAAAGTCATCGACTGGGACAGAAGAGCCGTCAAAGCGCCAGAAGAGGTCATTATTTTATTATTATACAATATTGAATAAAACCGTGTGCGCCAGAAAAACAAGTGCGTACTGCGTAGCCATCTTTAGAATAGACCTTTTTTTTGTGGTAGCCAGTGTTGGGAAGGTTACTTTGGAAATGTAATAGGTTACAGATTACAAGTTACCCTATTTAAAATGTAATAGTAGTGTAACTTTTTCCATTACTTTATTAAAGTAATGTAACTGATTACTTTTGATTACTTTTTGATTACTTTTCTAAATTTCTAATGAATGTTTATTTGCAACTGTTAATCATTTTCAAACATTTACACCATGCAGGGTTAACCTTACAGTAGTGCTCAACACTGTCAGACTTTCAAAATCCTTCATCACTTGAATTAAGATGATCATATTTGAACACATCCACCACAAAATCAGACATTAGTACCGCCTTTTACCTTGAGACTGATCTGAAGTTCAATGCAGATTTAAAATCATAAGAAATAGTTTACTTTTTTGAAACCAAATCTTTGCATAACTACAGGAAACACTGCATCTAACAATGGTTTGAGAAAAAAATTGTTTAATTAAAAAATAATAATAAATAAAAGCAAATACATCAACTCAAATACGGTTATCTAATAAGCATGTGTCCTATTCTGTGTACTAAACTCCTGAAACATTGGTGTCTCTTTGTATATGATATGACGATAGTTTTCTCAAAATAAGTAAAATGCTCATGAAGTGACTCAGAGCAGTTCTAGAGATTATGTTTATATGTTCATGTACTCATATATTGAGGCGGCAGAGGCTGAAAACAACGCGAGCTTCAGTAGGCCTATGTGTAGTAAATGAAACCGCATGTCTGCACCATTAATTTCCACGAGGGGCCGACTGGGAAAAAAATTTCAGGCCGGGAAATCTCACACTCATACACCCACAACAAATTCTGAAACATGGACAACCCTATTTTGTGTATGGACCTCACATAAGAAAGGTTTAAATCCTTAGGTTGGGGACATGCAAAATAATTAAAAGTTTTTCCCTTACAAAAATTATCCATGCTTTTATTATAGTAAAAGTACAGTAACCATGTTTTTTTTTTTTTTTT